AGGATTTAGTGAAGTAAATAAAATAGTGTGTCTGAAGTACATAGCCAGCCCTGGGACACAGTAGTCATTTAATAAACCTCAATTCCCTTGCTTTTGACTGCATGCCCTGGGGGGGCAGTGTGGGTTCATGGATGGAAAGACACAGGGGAGGGCACCTCTTTCTTGCCAAACTCAAATGTTCCTTCTGCCTGACCCCACTTAGTCACAACTGGACCATGATCTCCCAGACCACCCACCCGCCTCTCTGGGTGTCCCACCTCAGTCTTTCTACAACAGCCTACATTTACTTCTCATGTTCCTGAAAAGCATTGGCTGATTGGCCTGTATTTCCCACTAGACTCTAGATTCCCTGTGGCCTGGACAGTGACATTTCTCTCAGGTTCCTAACTCAGTGTATGCTTTTGCTAGGCACTCAGTGGGTGTCTCCATGCCTAACCTACAGGTATGAGTGATGTCCAGCCACTTACCAGTGAAATCTTTCACTGGAACAGATTCTGAGGGTAAATATAAGAGAGAACCACCTGGAAAAAAAGCTTAGCCACCACGCTGTGAAAGATGATCTCAGAAGAGGGGTCTTTCCCTGCTCAGAATACTATATTCTAAAATTTCCAGGGTCTGTCAGGGTTCCTGAAGTCCAAAGGTGTATATCGCCGTCACTTGAAGTTCCTTTATCTCCTCCAGAAAGTGATTCCAGCTCTCCCTCCTGTTCCCTTTTCTGTGCCCTGCACACCCTTGTATGTCTCCATGGGGACTATGGCCTTGTGATCATGAGGCTGGCTGGCTGGCTGCCACTCTGAACTGATGCTTCCCTGTGACAGCACCCTGCTCTGCATTGGCACATCTCTAAAGCAGAGTGCTTACCTGCCCGCCACACTGTGTGCAAAGGAGCAACTGGAGATTCTTGACCTGGGTCTGGAAACACAGCCCCAGGGGGTTTGAATGTGCATCACGGACCTCCTAAAATTGCTTGGGAAATTATATGTGTATGTTCATAAATCTGCTGCTCTTGTGAGAGAGTCCATGGTTTATGTTAGATTCTGAAATGTTTTCACGATCCTACAAATGTTAAAAAAAAAAACCCACTAATTTAGAGATTTTTTCCACATACTTGTAAATTCAAGCTTATGTTTTCATTAGCTGGCAGATATTTTTATGCTCCCCTGATATCCAGGTGTGAGCTACAGCTTGGAATAGCTCGTGAGCTCCGCGCGGAGCCATGGATGGTAGTTCTGGCCTGGACACTGCTGCTTACACATCGTGGAGGGTCCACTTAGCCTTTCTGAGCTGCATTTTACTTTTCATCTGTTCACTGACGTTTATAATGCCCTCACGTCCTACAGGAATGCTGTATAGTCAAGAGATAACAGATGTGCAGGCATTTTATAAACTGCCAAGGGCTGTACAATGTAGGATGCAAGTATTACTGTTACACATGTGTCATTTTTCTTGTTACACAGTGCCAAGAACACAGTAGGCAGTTGATAAATATGTGATTAAAACTACGTGGAAAGGGTTTATTGGAGTGAGAGGGCTACAGGTTTAAGGACACCAGTGTCTGTATGTCTTGCAGATCCTGTGAACGATCTAGTATTTAGGCGTAGAGCACAGCTAGGGATACAGAGGAAATGCTTTTCAAACTATGGTAAAAGAAGAAATGACCTTTGAGATTCCAAATCCGTTTGCTTTATTTTCCAGACGAAATTGACACTTAAAAGAGTAGAAGCTGCCCCCACTTCTTTCAGGAGGGCTCCAGCGTCCTCCTCATCACTTTATAATGGAGGCCAAAAAAACCCCAATCCTCCTTGCCATCATATTATCAATTTATTGTCTTTTCTTTTTTAAATGGTACAGCATTCAAACCATAGTCTTAATTCTCTCATTGGGGCCACAGAGAGGCCTGCCATTCCTAGACTATGCTGATCCTGTACTAACACAGGCATAATGCATTATGAAAACTTTGTATTTCCAAAGTACCTTCCTTCTTGGAATGTTCTTATAGACACCACCTCACTGGGGATAGGTTATTGCCACCACTGTGACCTCGACAGATCCACAGAGGTTACTGCAACTTGTCCAAGTCACAAACCTTGGTGTCCAAAGCAGGATGAAAATCTAGGCGCTCTGATTATCTGTCCTTTTAATCACCAGATCTGTGTCCCTGAAGAACATCTCTGCTTGATTTTGGTAACTTTGCAGAATTAAACTAGAAGACTCTATCTTTGGGAAAGAGAGATTTTAGCTTCAAATATATTACACTTAGGGCTGAAAAGACTGTTTATATCCCCTCACACTACACGCCACATACACCTGGAGAAAAGCTAAATCTCATGAGACCCTCTCCCTGTCCCCAAAGACTGACAAAACAGTAACCTGGAAATGGTTTTTTTTTTTTGCTTGATAGTTTTGTGTGTGTGTGTGTGTGTGTGTGTGTGTGTGTTGACTAGACTCTATCCTTCCATTTAAACAATTTGCAATAAGAGGAGTTTGAAATTACATTTAGTCATTGCTTTAGAATGAATGGTACTTAATTAAATATTACTTTAAAAATAGGCTTCTTCTCTTTTTCTGTAATTGCATTACTTTTTTGAGGGGAGGTTTTGTTTTGCTTTTTAAACTGATTGTGTGCATTTGGAAAGTACCCTAGTACAGGGTATCTGAAAGCAGAAAATTCTGGCACTTTTCCCACTTTCCATTCTTTCTCCGGTATAGATGCCAGATTCCTTTGGGAAATCATCATTTGCAAAAGGTCAGGAGCAAAAGGAGGGGTATTCTTTAGTACACAGTTGCTGCTAATTAGAAACTAAAATCTGTAACCATGTCAGAATTATTTGTATTTGAAAAGAAACATTTATACACAAAAGCCTTTTCGGTAACATAAAACACACTATAACACAAAGTATGTATGTCGAAGGGGTGGGGGACAGACAGCTCAGGAAGCTTCCGACAAATGACTGTGCTGAGTGAGGTCATTTGTTAATTAAATCTCAAAGCTTTTTCAGAGTATTTTCTTTTCTCCATCAAGTGAATGTTTCTCACTCCCCAGCCCCCCAGCCCCCATGGGCCAAAGCAAACGTTTGACTGCATTTGCCAGCTACAGATCAAACATTTAATCATTTTAAAGGAAAGATAAGTGAGAAAACGGGTGAGTTGGCAAAACCCAGTCAAAAACCACTGGGAAATCTCTAGCTACCTACTGTAGCCGTAGCCTTCAGTGTCTTCTCATAACATGTTGTAAGGAGAGTTCTTCTCCATCGGGAGAGTGTGTGCTGATTGCCCCACCTCGGACCTACTGTCTTAGGGTAAAAAACGACACAATGTTTTGACTTACCCTGTACCTCTTTCTTCTATCTCCCTATTTCCTCCTACCTGCCCTTCTCCCCATGGTGAAATTCTGCTTGCATCGTTACATTTGTACAGAAATTATATCTGTACTTTATTGTTATATTAATATAAATGTCAGTGATAATTCTGAGGTGTTAGAAACATTTCAGTCATAGGGCTTTGTCTCTACATGCTAAGCCTCAATGGCCACATGGGCCTAACGGCCCAGATCTTACCATAATTTTTTCTTGGACTATTGATTAATTTTGGAAAAAAACAAGAGGCCATCTCTTTCCCCTGCAGAGTCTGCTATCTTCTCATCTTCCCCATTCTTGTCTTGTCATCTAAGACATTTATATAAGTTTTTTTTGTTGTTTTTTTTTTGTGTGTGGTACGCGGGCCTCTCACTGCTGTGGCTTCTCCCGCTGCGGAGCACAGGCTCCGGACGCGCAGGCTCAGTGGCCATGGCTCACGGGCCCAGCCGCTCCGCAGCACGTGGGATCCTCCCGGACCAGGGCACGAACCCATGTCCCCTGCATCGGCAGGCAGACTCTCAACCACTGCGCCACCAGGGAAGCCCAGTTGAGTTATTTTTTTAATAGGATGCAAGATCATCAAGTCTTGAGAGTTCTAGTCAAGAACTTAGTTAAGCTAGGACTTACCATATTGGGCTCTCCTTTCAAATAAGACTATATCTGTGAAGGCTCTGAAGCGTACAGTTTCAACAAAATGGTTGTGGACTCTCAGGTTCTAAGTGTTTACAAAAAAGTCAAGAGGCCCTTAGATGACCTGCCTTTCCAATGACCTTTGTAGAATCACAAAATACCAATTGTCCATGACTTTCACTTAAGAACTGGCTTCTATCCAAGCTCTGTGGGTGTGAGTCAGCCCAAGAGGCAAGGATTTGGTGACTAGAGGGTCCATCTCTTGTTCTCATGACAGTTAAGTTCAGAGGGTGTACTCGGCCATTTATGGCATTCCCCAGTCTGGCCTGACTCACTTCTCAGCCTTCAGTTCCACGGCTATTCATGAGCCTCTGTTTCAAGCAGACGCAATTAATTATACCTCGAGCATTTCTACCCTTGCTTTATACAGCTGTCCCTGATTGAGACAACTGCCTGGTTTCTTTCGGCATACTTGAATCACGCTTGCTTTCCTGACTTCCATCCTTCTCAATACTACAACCCACAGCCCACAACCCACAGTTTCATCCTCCTATAGCCATCATGTCAAGATCATTTGCCTATCATTTTTCCAGTACCGCTTTCAGTTATCTTTTCAGATGTACTCCTTATCTTGCCAACCAGCATATAGGCTCCTCAGAGACAACAGTGACTGTCTTATTTCTTATGGCACTCATCATGGTGCTTTTGTTCATTCTGAGTGCCCAATAAATAGTTGTTTGTTGAGGAGCAACTACCTGTTTATTGTCTTACTCCCAATTCCTATCTGCATTTATTCCTGTGATGGAATCATAGATGTTAATGATGTTTATGAGAAAAGCAAAGTTGCCTGTATAATTAATGACAAAAAAACCAATCATTTGGAATAGGAAGCAACTCCTCCCGCCACCCCAGCCCTTGGATGTCCCAGCCAGAGCTAGATAGAACATCAGCATATACAAAGACATGGGTGTGGAAATGAGTATTGAATGGTCTTGTGTTTTTATCTTTTCCCAGATGTGGTTGCTCACCTGTCTACCGCTCCCGTGAAATGGCAGCTCGTGCCTTGGTCCCATTTGTTATGATGGACGAAATCCCTGATACCATCCGAACTCTGTTGGCCAAACTCCCCGACTGCACCGACCGGTGTTTCCGGCAAAATCATATTCATGGGACACTTCTCCAGGTAAGTATAGTCACTCTTTCTGACTTCTGTCAAACACAAACATTGTTAGCAGGTGAAGATTTGTTATACAAGCTTTTCACTGTATCCGTAGAACTTTTTTCTACTGCTGAAAGAACAAGTATTTCCTAGGTGTGCTTTTTGCATCATAAACATGAATGTGGTGTCACACTGTGATTCAGTCAGGTCATCTTTTGCATTAAAGCCTAGGTTTTCTGTAGCATGCTTTTCCATTTAGCCTTCCTCTCTGAACCAGGTGGAGTTGTGTCTTTTCCATCAAGTATGCCTGCAGAACATTCTAGGCCACTCCATGTTCAGGGTGAAGTTGTGAGCATTCCTTGATACACATCAGGGAGCTTAACACCACAGTACATGAAATATCAAGCCCTACTTTCCTATTTTCTCTGTGCTATCAATATGGAAGAGACTTTTGAATCAATATACAAATTGATTTATTGCTTTTAACTTCTCTTCTAGAAAAGACTCAAGTATAACAAATGATTAAGAAATACACTTCTCATTGAAACTGTCCTTTTTGACCCCAGCTATAAACTTGGTGCTGGTGAGAAGGTCTGCTGTTCATGTGGCTGCTCTAGTCACTCACAGTGGGGCAGGGCTGGGGTGGGATTTAAATATCAGGTCATGTTTCTGAATTATGAGCAGATTAGAGAGATGGCCTTGAGATCCAAATATATGCTCTAAGCTTGAAGTCCACACTGCTGACGTCAAAGGCAGTGTGTAGAGTGGTTAAGGCCTGTGATTCTGGATCCAGACTAGTCTAGGTGTCAATTTCAGATTCATCACTCGCTACCTGTGCATCTGTGTCTTCATTTTTGGACCAAGGATAATAGTAGTGTATACCTCTTAGGGATTTTGTGAAGACTACATGAACTAATGCATATAAAGTGCTCAGAATAGTACTTGGTACATAGCAAGATATATAGATAGTTATTATTGTTATTATTCGTTTTCATAAGTCTGTGCTATAATGAAAACTGATATTTTTGTAACTAATTCCATCTAGGTGAGAAGGTAAGATAGACCTATTTTTTGCCTTCCTTCCTTGGTTGTTTTATATATTTAACAAGTATTTGTTGAATGGTTCCTATATACTACTGTGTCATAATCAAAATAGTGACCAAGTCAGTTCTTGCGTTGAAGGAGTCGAGGACAAAAAAAAAAGGCCAGAAAATGGGCAATTACAATGTAGTATGCCAAGTGCTAGGGGAGCATAGCAGGGTCACCTGACTGGTCCTGGAGCAGTCGGGGAAAGCTTCCCAGAGAAAGTGACATCTAAGAAGACAGCAGAAGTTAGCCAAGGGAAGGGGGAGAAAGAGTTCCACCTGCAGAGGGAACAGCATATAGAAAGGCTCAGACTGGGTGTGAGTCAGCCCATCTGGAAACTGCAGGGTTGGGTGGGACTAAAGTTCTAGGGTGGCAGGTCTCAAACTGGTCTCAGGACCTCTTTACCCTCTTAAAGGTTTTTGAGGATCCCAAGTGGCTTTTGTCTATCAATATTTAATTAGAAACTGAAACAGAAAATAAAACACAAGAACTCACAAGCACACATTCCGTTAGTCATTAGAGAGGTGACATCATCACACACCTTGTAGCCTCTGGCAAACTCCACTGTATACTTGTGAGAGACCGAGAATAAAAGAGGAAAGTAATGTCTAGTGTCATTTTGAAAATAGTTTAATCTTGCAGATCTCCTGAAAAGATTGTGCAACTCCCAAGGGTCCCAGGCCAGATGCTCTGGTCTCCGTTATATGCATTATGGATCATTGGTGGTTTCTTTAATACAAACTCTTAAGCACTCATCTCCCTTGGTTCTCACTATATCCCTGTGATGAAGAGAGGGGCTGGGGTTGTTATCTTAGTTATAAAGATGGGACCCTGAGGCCCATACAATTGTGTCAGACTCCACTGTTTCTTTGAAGGGAAAGGGCCTGCGGTAATGAGTAATGCAGAACAGGCTTTTCAGAGATTCATAGGGGATGCAGCTGAGTTAGAAGGAAGGCTCGGATTGTCGGGCGGCATCAGCCATCAGATTTTCTTTATTGAAGATCCACTCTTGGCCAAACTTAGAAGTAGTGAGGTTGGAATTGTTTCTTTGGCTCTTTCACCAATTGTACAAATGGGCCTCCCAGACTCATTCCCCGTACGCACCACTAAAAGGTCTGGCTTGTGTTTCACCAGTCTGCCCAGCAACAAAATACGGTCTTTTGCTCCCAGGGCTGCCTTTGATATTCTCAAAGTTACTTCTTCTGCTACATAATATGTGAAACACTGTGGGAAGGTAAAAACCCTCTAACTCTGGGGTGGTTGTGACTATTCCTCTTGTTCCTGAGTGTTGGGGAGATGAAGGGCTTGTTGGAAAAAACAACAACCATATGGGTGTTGGGTGCTGGGTATTGTGTTTGTGTTTGTCAAACAGATTCCTGTCTTTACCAAGATTGGCTTATACCCTGGTTGAAAAAAGGAAGTCAAAGGCCTGTGGAAATCTTTTTGTCATGTCTATTCGGGTGTCTCATCTGTGTTGTAATAGTTCTGTTTCACCCTGTTGTTCTTTGTGGGGAAAGCTTAAGGGGTTAAGACAGGGAGGGCTCTTTTTCTCTTTTCCTTCTGTAGCTTATAGATTCCTTTTCCGCATAAAGCTACCTTTGAAATCAGGAAAAGACCTGCACCTGGAAAAGAGATGTTAGGGGTTGAAAGGAATAGTAATCTCCATGGGACTTTCAGAGCCAGCTAAGTAAATAGAAAGTTGTTATTTTTTTCAGAAGCAGGAAATCATTTTGTAATCAGAAAACAAATTCTTTCACAGAACATTTTCTTGAATTGTACATTTTGACTTCTTTGAAAAATGTTTACATAAATATATCAAACCTTGGAGTATTTCTGTAGTACTATACATACTATACCTTGAAAACGAGAAATGTGCTGATCTCTGAATTTTCGGGGACTATGGAAGAAAGACTCAAATTATAGGACATGCAAAAAAGGAAAGAACATGTGGGATTTGTTTCTTAATCATTTTAAAAACCAGAGGCTCATAATTGCCATGTTGAAATGGATGGAAGTAATGCACATCAGAAAAGGTGAGATTATCCTGCAGGTTCACGAGAGCCAACGGTAAATGACATTAAATCTCAGTAAAGGCTAGATAAGAGACATGGACGGTACCTCATTTGGGAACAGTACTGGCAGGGCTTCCCTGTCTTTTAAGTAGAATTAAACGCCTGTTTTTGTTGCCAAAATTCTTCACGTTGGGGACTTGATGTTATTACAAGGTTACTTATCACTCCCAAGAAATCGAGTTAGAGTTCAAAAATCTTGTATTGAGGAAGAGTTTGGCCAACAATCATGAGGAAAGATTTATTTTGATTCTGGGTACTTAACTCATCTTTTGGTGTTTCCTAAGAAAATATATACCATTTGAAGTGAAAGTTTGAATTCTGAGTTTTTTCATTTCCTGCCCAATTTGGTTATTTTTCCTATTGTACAGACGTATAAAAGCTGATCCCTGCTCTTTCTTTAATTAAGCCCTTTTATTTGGGTAAGATGAAGTGGGCAGTTGAGGAAAGTAAGCTGCTATTAAAGCAGAAAAAGCACTTTTTCATTTATCTGTACATTCTAGACAAAAGTATTCTTTTTTTCTTCAGTTAATCCAAATAATCACCACAGTTCTACACATCCCTTTCCTGGTATTAAATTTTCTCCATTTTTTACCCACAGAATCTGTTGAACACTTTGTTTAATTCTTTTATTCCGGCCCCCCAAATTTGGAGCCTTGATTTCTGCACTTTGAGAATTCTGGGTTAAAAAGATTCCACTTTAAAAAAAAAAAGATTCCACTTTTCTGGCTGTGGAGTGGAGTAGTATTGCTGCATCTGTCCTTGGGTTGACGTGAAATATTAGCCAGGGATGGGCTTCAGATAGCCTAGGCCCACGCACTTAGAAAGTTTGCCATGAGATAAGTAAAATGAACATTTTGAGCACCTTTTGTATTCCACATGAATTGCACATGCGATTTCATTAATCCTCCCAGCAACCCAGCAAGATAGGCATTATTCTCTCTCTCTCTCTCTCTCTCTCTCTCTCTCTCTTTCTCTCTTTCACACACACACACACACACACACACACACACACACACACACACACACACCCACATTCTCTCTGTGTTTCTGATGAGGAAATTGAGGTGAGCCTGACAGAGTGACTTGAGTAAAGTCACAGAGGTAGTCAGGGGTAGAGAGAAGACATTAAAGCCTGCACTCCTTTTCTCTTTAGAACGTGCTGCCTCCCTAATAGTTTATGTGAATAACAACTTTTTATGCCTAGGGAAACCAAATCAAGAATCCATCTTTGTTTTTATTTTTATTTTTTATTTATTTATTTATTTTTGCAGTACGCGGGCCTCTTACTGTTGTGGCCTCTCCCGTTGCAGAGCACAGGCTCCGGACGCACAGGCCCAGTGGCCATGGCTCACGGGCCCAGCCGCTCCGTGGCATGTGGGATCTTCCCGGCCCGGGGCACGAACACGCGTCCCCTGCATAGGCAGGCGGACTCTCAACCACTGCGCCACCAGGGAAGGCCCATCTTTGTTTTTAATCCCTTGTCACTCAGTCTCCTTAAATCTAATTTGATATGATACTACAACATTGGAAACAAAGAAGTTCATCCATATTCTAAAGAGGGACAGAGGAAGCCGGTGAAACCCTGCAAAGCTACAACTGGTAAAAGACCTTTAAAAGTACTTATTGTAGGGCTTCCAGAAATGGAACATTCCTTGACAGATTCCATTTGGCGACCTAAGCTTGGCCTATCTCTGTTGTTTATTTTCTATACAGAAAATACAATTTCAGAATGGAAAATAAAAAGCAAAAGCATGAAATTATGCTGATGTTGTAAATTGTAAATGGATGGCTGGTCAGTGTGCTTTTTTTCTGGAATGAGTCATAAAGAAAGGCTCACTCTTGTCACTAGTGGCCAGATTTACTGGT